TTAGTGATGGCGAATCTATGACATGTGATTCCATACTGGTGCTGATGGTGCTACGCATCACACATTTTCAGAGCCATCAATGAAGATAAAAAATTGCATAATACAAAAATATTTGTCTCTTGTAACAGCCTTGTCAATGTCAAGATATGCTGCTTTTAATTTGAGTGCATTCTTGGTGAACGGGTGATACAGATGACAGACAGATGATTCTATATGTGGCACAGCATCAGAGTTAAGGTAGGTTTTTTTTTTTTAATTTTGACACGCCGAGCTAAAAAGGTTCACTATCACTGCCTTACATGATACTCTATTTGTAAGGTATTCATTGCATGCGATATGTCTAATATTGAATCCCTTTTCAGAATGATTTAGCTCAGTTCAGATATGTCCTCCTTGGCTAAATTTAAATTTTGGTTCCCAAATTTTAAATTACGATCAGCTGAATCGTATGTAAAAGCCTCTGTCACTAGCATTATGCAATAATCATATGATAGGAATTAATTTTGAAATTACATAGCTTACAGATAATTAGTATAAGCAATTACAATTTTTAGGACAGTAAAATGGAAAGTTAAAAAATTAATGCAAATTAAAGTTAGAATATTTATTTACATATTTCATATCTTACATATGCTATCCATACACCGTGTCCACAGAAGTCTGTACATGGTTTTCATTTTCACAAAAATTGGCCTAAGGATGAGACATTCAAATCCTCAAAACCAGAGCATCTTCAAAATTGCCCAAAGCTTGAATTTTGGAGCTATTTTTATTGTATTTATTTATTTATTTATTTGTTATTCTAACTTCAGAAATTGTTAAATGTTTTTAATCCAAAATTTTGGAAAGCTTAGTCGTATCATTTCAGTAAAAAAAAGAATGCGATTGTTGCAATTTTAGTGGTATTTGAATCACGGCTCTGTGTTCCATTCTACTTTAATGTGACATTCAATGAAATCTGCCAAAACTTTCACTCTAGCCAATCGGTGCTGCGAACTTGACTCCAATTGTCTACCTATTAAGCTATTCAGCTACTTTATTGAATTTTAAACTATTAACTGAAATTTGAGCTGTTACTCAAATGTGTTTATCAAAATATATAAACCCTCCGAGCAGCATGACCAGCTTTATCCAGTCATGCTGCTCGGAGGATATCCAGTCATGAGTTTTTTTTGTTACTTGATACATATTAGCTTATATAACTTAAGATATTTTACTTTCTTATTTTAATAAGGTAGACGTAATCTTAATGAATGTATGTTTATGAAAACAGAGGTAATTATATAAATTTAGCTAATAAATGCTGCATAAATACAGGTTTTCATAACAGATTCAAAAACCTGTGCCATTCAGAGGGTTAAGAAAATGAGCTTCATGTTTTGAGAGTTTATTTACTAAATTTATTAAAACCATTTAAAAAACCATTTAACCATTTAAAAAAAAAAACTAAGTCTACTTTTTCTTTAAATGTATTCTCACAGTTTCTTCTTAAACTCAGATTTTTAACTTTTCTTGAAAATGTTCAATATTAAGTAAAAGTTTTTTTTTTTTTTTTTTTTTTTTTCTCATTAGTCATCTTTTATTTCTATTTTAAGGAATTGAAATATCTGGTATATTTAAAAAGTGTTTCAGGATTCGGATTTGAAAAAATTCAAAATTTGACTATCTTTGGTTTTTTTCATTGCAAATTAAAAATTATACATATGCGTAATATTTCTCTGCTTGTGTAAGACCTATAGTGTTGTATGGAAATGAGTGCTGGACAATGAATAAAGCTGATGAGGATAGAAAAATGACATTTGAATGAAAGATTTTGAGAAGAATCTTTGGAGCAGTAAGGGAAAATGGAGTGTGGAGAATAAGATATAATTTTAAACTACAGCAAAAATTTAGAGAACCAAACATAATAAAAGCCTCTCAACTAAAATGGCTAGGTCATATATACAAGTGTTCAATGATGAAATTAACATTCCAAAAGCCAGAGGGGAGGAGAGAAAGACCACAAATGAGCTGGCTAGACAATATGGAAAAATGGTTAAAGAAAACTGGTGTCAATAGGTGGAGGACTGTGGCATTTGATGGCCGAGACAGCCTTGGCCGGAAATTGGCTGCAGAGCATAAGAAGAATTAGAAGTGCAAGATTTTAGATGCTTCAATGTAATGCCAATGTTTATAGGCTCATTTAAGGCAAATTGAGGAACGTAATTTGAAAACTGGAATGAATTTACCCCTTCATGCAATGTTGACTTGGTCATGAAAATGCTGACTAGGGCAACAAAAACGAATTTTCATGACCTAAGTGTAACTAAGCCGTAGGACAGATGTGATGATCAGCTAAGAAAAGGAATTCACACCAACATTCCTACCAAAACGTTTTACAGAATGTATATTTCAAATAGATATTTGGATCAAACTTTAATATAATGATGAGTATGTTTCAATGTATTATGGAAAATTTAACATAAGGTATTGTATATATCCATGTTATAAGTCAGATGCTGATGTTATTAATATATAACATCCTTCGGTGTAAGCTTATCTGATGATAGACGAGCTGAGTTTCAGATTTGAATGTGCTGTCACTAATCTTCCAGTCAGTTTTGACGGATATGCCTCGATGTACACTACAAAATATCTTACTCCTGGTAACCCTTGATCAGGCGAGACAAGTTGCACACATTCGTAAACTACAAAGGAAGGCTCGAAATCAAAATAACCAGCTGAGGTGTCTAGAATATCGCATTCTGAAGTGATGAGTGTCTAAAATGTAGTCTGCAAGAAACTGAGATACTATACCTGAAGGAAATCAAGCATTCTGTATCAAAATTGAAAGTTTATGTTATGAAATATCAATAGAATTTAACAATGCATTGCTTGATATTTATAGTAAGTCAGGCAGTAAATTGGAGCTATTCACTTTCGTGAAGAACGTGTCAGATGCTAAAGATGATTGGAAGTCAGGTAGACCAGGATAGCAACAGAAAAAAAAAAAAAAAAAAAGATGTGATGCTTATAATGAGCTAAAAAAGAAGAATATTGTCAGGTAACATAAAAAAAAAATATTTCAAGCTAGAATGATGTCACAGTATCAATATATCTTATTTTGTAAAAAGCTTTGCACACACAAAATTACCCGATGGAATTCTTTAACACTTGACCTGATTTTATTGAAACAAGGGTTTGATAATAAATGTGAAAAACTTCTGCCTTGAATCATCTGACAAAACATGATTTAATCACTTTGGACTAGAATTATTATTGCTGTCATTTCAGTGAAGAAGGCCATGTTCCCCACGAGCTCAACAATTTTGACCTGTTCAATCATAGATGATATGGTTATTCCATTGATTCAAAAACACAACAGTCATGTTTATTGGCAAGTAAATGTTTTTTATATGCTGTTAACTCTTCCACTTGCTCTGAAGCAAAAGCTGAAATGTTGAAGAAATATGAAACAGAATGCGGCTGAGTAAAGGAGTAAAAGGTCTGTATAAGATTTTGCCTGCTATATGACTATTTGCTACAACTTACTGAAAATGCTCATTAGAAATCATATTTTGCATTATCAAATAAAATGGATCTTACTGGTCATGTTTTTATAAAAGAATGAAATAGCATTATTTCTAAAATAAAAACAACTTCTTTAGAACTAGGGAAAAAAAAAATGATCAGTTCAAAGCTTCATTTATAAAGAGCATATTGTTGCTTTCTCAACATGAGGATGACAACATGAGAAGAGTTTCTTAAAGGAATATTTTGAAAATAAAATTCTATCTCATAAAATATGGATTTAAATGGTCTTTGTTTCTAAATTCTGTTAAGAAACTATGCAATTTATTTAGAATTTAGAAGGATCAAACTATATATTCACTCTCACATTTTGTGCATTCAGTCAAATGATTTAAAGTCTTCTCTTGAGATCTAAAGAGATAGATATTTCAGGGATAAGACAGTATGTTTTTAGACAATTGACAAAAATGAAGGTGACTAGAAAAGCAATACAGTCAAAAGTCTTTAATCCGGACTTGTCGGGACTTCGGCGATTCCGGATTATAGATCATCAATTTAAATCTGGTAAGATGGCATGCAGAAATTATAAAATTAAAAATATGAAACCGTAATTTATGAAATAAAGAGCAATTATGATCTAAACGGTATCAAAATTTACAAAAAAAAAAAAAAAAAAAAAAAAAAAAAGCTTAATATTTATTTGTTTACTTTATTAAACATTTCTTTCAACGTGTACATGCGTAAAGCATAAATTACGCATAGTCGAAATTAGAAAATTGCAACCAGAAAACTATTTAATGTGTATTCATGATATTTATAATGACGAGGAATTCCGATTTAAATCATATCAAAGACGGAGTACATCGAGATGAAATACTACATTTAGTAAGGAGTTATAAGCTGAAGAAAATAAAAACATCTACCCTGAAGATAAGGATAGTGCTGACAGATCAACTTCCAGTTCATTGAGTGCTGCGACGTCCCCCCCCCCAATTTCAGAAGCATGAAACAAAATGTTAAAAGTTTGCCAATTCTGAGTTGACTCTTTTTTACATGTATTCTCCATATGAAAGTAGAAATAATTTGTTAATTATGTTACTATATGTACTTTTTTAAAAATTATTCTCTAACTTTCTGCACTGTTGTAGAAAATCAGTGCTGTTTGGGACTGGTGCCAGAGCTGGCATGGATACATTGGGCAGCATAATTTATAGATTAAATTAATTGATTTTTATTTAATTACAAATATAACTACCACAAAGAGTTAAACTTGATTTTTCCATTATTTTTGTAACATGCCATTGTGAAAGAAAATTTATATGAAAAAAATTCCCTCTAATGCAGGCCACAGTTGAACTGAGTTAACTTTAACTAATGGCTTTAAAGACTAATCAGAAGCTCTGATAAATGTTTATAAATAAGGCTTTTTTTTTTTTCCTTTAATTTCTAAAAAAATACTTAAGAGTTAAAAAAAATCACACCTACATACATAGCATATGAAATGATCTCAAGTTTTATTATAAAATATTACTGAGCACAGTAGCAGCCAAGACACCATTCAAATTATTTTAATTTTACAAACACTTAATGGCATGTAACAAATGCCTGAAAAAGATGTCAGAAGACAAAATGCAACAGTTTATATTTTACAAAATCTTAGCACTGCATTCATCTATAATATATATATATATATATGTATATATGTGTGTGTATATTTATCAAAGCATTTTTAATTACATTAAAACAGGACTTTATACTACCATTGCATGCATTATACAAGAAATGGTAATGTATTGAAAGCACCAACAATATAAGGGAGGCTAGCACTTAAAATATACACAATCAGAAACAATGGTTTACATAAAAGACGCAATGAAAGAAATCATATGTTACAATGTTGACTTAAAAGTTCACTCTTTTAAAGTAAATATACAATACAATTTTACACAGGATAAAAATTCTTTCCAGTTTTTAAACATAAAAAGGAATCTCCATCAGTCCATTTTACCACCTACAATCACTCAAGAGGTGTTTTATACAAACATGATACAAAACAACATATTCACTTTTATTAATAAATATTAGTGACCAGATTAACCCTTACTTAGCATACTGCAAGGGCAACTGCATCATATGAATGCTAATTACACATATCAAAATACACTGTTTTTTTGCTATTAATTTACTACTATATTGTTTGTTTTTATGTAGACAGTGAGCATGAGAATGCTGATGGCAGATTCAGGGAAGTTAAAATAATTACAGAAAATCATCTCAAATTTGTGATGCGTTAATTCTTTTAAAATATAAACATATTAAAGATATATATCACACGCTAAAATTATACATGATTTGGCTTCAGAAATAAACCTTAAGATCTTTCAATCAATACTTTTCACATCACAGGTACTTTTTATTATAAAAATAATAATTTAAATATTAAAAACCTTTATTTTGTATATGCTATCTCTTAAATAAAAATATGTCCATAAACTGCAAAATCAATACAAAGAATTATTATATACTGCTTTACAGTTTACAATAAGTAACTAATAAGAATAATCTTTACATTTTTGAGCATAAGAGTTTTGAGAGCATTAGTCAAAATAGGTAACTTCAGCTGACTAGTTAGATTTAAAAAAAAAAAAAAAAAAAGAGGGACTTAATATATCAAACCTACCCACATCGTAAATCAATAATTTATAAGCAAACTTTAAATATAGGAAAAGTATTCTTATGTTCTAAACATTAATTTTTACCACATCTACTAAATACTCACCGGTTCAGAATAATGAGAATTATAAGAAACTATCAGGTTGGGTGATAAAAGTTATGTATTAAAAAATCAACAATCAAGACAAACATTCCTACATTTTAAAATTTGGACCCCTCTGAACACAAAGCTTTTAGCACAGGTGAATATATGTAACAATCTGACAAGAGTTAAAGTGAGCTAATCGATCACAGAACATTAGTCACTAATGTGTATCTCCAACACAATTTCACATATATTTTCCAGTAAAGTTGTAAAGAGTATAAAAAACAGCATCAGAGAAGATAACTTTCAAAATGATATAATTTATGTTACAAAACACAGCTAAATATAGTTTTTATTTCCTCCCAGTTCCAGAGACTTATGTATTTTAAGCGTAAAAAACAAAATACCCTTTTTTGCTTTACATGTATGATCAATTATATAAAACAAAAACATAAAATAACCTTAATTTCCATCTTATTTTGCTAAAAAAATATGAAGCATTAATACTACAAAAATCTGAGCAAATACTTATCTTCAAAGTCGATTGGCACATATATAATTTCAGGTATCTTTTTGGACTTACAAAAGTTATGGTTTGATAATTCTAACAAGTCCTTCTATAGATGAAAGAAAAAAGAAAATCCCATAAACTTGACTACATGCATTCATCCAGAAAAACGTAACAAAAATTAGCAGAAGCTATCGGTGATCAAATCATCCTTAAAATGTCACCATACTTATTTGCTGATAGTAGGTGTTCACTAAAGTCACTTTTCTGTCAGCTGTGATAAACAACCTCAGAGGAAATTTATTTTCCTCATAATATATATTTGCTAGTAGCAAAATTGATTATATATATATTTTTTTCAGGATGAGGAGTTTCACCATCAGAAAGCTAACCAAAAGGTAGCTAGACAGTGACTCATAAAAAGTTGAGAGACTGTAAAAATCTAACTTTATCACCTATACAAGATTATATTCTTTCAAATTTTGTTGGAGAATGGTGTCTTTCACTGCAGCAAACACAAACCTAATGTTCTCAGTATCTGAAAAATAAAAGAAAAAAAATTATTATATATACCTATTTTTTTTGTAAGTTTCAATATGTTTCTTTAAATGTACTGAAAGATAAAGAATCCCATCCATTTACAATACACAACAGGATATTTTAATACTCAAAAACATACGAATTGCTTTTGCGCAACATTATTTCTAAACCTAAAGTTGAAACATGCAAGTAGATGTCAAAAGTACAATATCATTAAGTTCAGTTATTATAAATCATCAATGCATAAATAAAGTTTCAAGTAATCTGACTAATAGTTTACAATATCTATTTAAATTCACAGATAGCAGAATGAATAGTAGTATTCACCTTGATATTTATGCAAACCAAAAGTATATCCCACAGAATTTCTTCCCTTACTTCCTTTACTTTAAACTTCAAACACATTCCAAATGCTGATCCTCTTTTCCTTTATCAAATAATGTACAGCTTCAAAAAGTACGTGTTAAATCTCTGTAGTTCTTTCAGAACAAAAATATATACATAGGAACTTTTGAAAATTCTAGAGAACTAAATGTTAAAATAAAACAGTTAAAGCATAACAGGAAATAAGCAGTTTCATTGCTGTATCTTGCTTAAGGCAAAGATTTCATACATATCTTTTTAATAGATTTTTTGTTAAAGAAAATGTTTATACATCCTTTCCTCTCCTTCCCCCAAAAGTTCTTTATCCTTCAAAAGTAGCTGTTCATTAAATCTTCAAAAGAAAAATTAAATACAGCAGAATAAAGAAATGCTCCACTTTATTAAAATATTTCCCATTTTTAATAGTTAAACAAAAACTGAAAGTTAGGGAAGCTGAAAATTCTGAGAACAGAAATGAGGAAAGAATAGTATTATTTACGAGATAGTATATAGAAAAGCAAACTGGTTCCTACATTATAAAATAACAATTTGATTCTACCTTATAGAATAGTTTCTACTAATTGGAATATATTTCATTAAATTTAGATTTATTAAGTTACCACGGCAGCTCTAATGGCATTATTTTACATTTTGCAAAAAATATATTTTACTGCTAACAAAGATCTGAGAAATATAATACATACAGTATTTTATATATATAAAATTTGTAGTCTTTCTGACAAGTCTCTGATGTTTAAAAAAGGAAGGGGAAGAAATAAAAACACATACTACAGAAAATGAGTGCACAACTTTCTACCTCAGTCACAGACATCTACTATAATAAAATAATAATAAAGCTAATTGCAAAAATGTAGGAATACATTTACACACTCCTTGTTTATGCACAAGCTGTGAGAAAAAATAGTGATTGTAAAACCTCCATCAATTATAAAAAACATTCTCATATAATTAACAGAATATTTCTTAATACAAGATGAAGAATCTTGCAGCAGATACCACACAAAGATAAAAATTCATGTGTGTAGTGCCCTCATATAAACATTCTCACATAATTAACAGAATATTTTTTAATACAAGATGAAGAAACAAAATAAGCACAAGATGAAGAATCTTGCAGCAGATACCACACAAAGATAAAAATTCATGTGTGTGGTCCTCTCATATGTCATTATAAAGTACAAGATGACATGCTTTGAAGATGTATCAATCACGAAAATTTCATTATGAGAGAAATACATGTTAAGAATATTTTTGCATGTACCTTTAATATTTACCTCTCAGTATGTCCTAATACATGACTTTATTTAATATAATGTTTAAGTATGCATAAATATTTTTTTTACTAATAAAATTGCAGAATGGTAAGAAATATTTAATATTATTTTAGAAATTTTCTTGAACACTTTCAATAAATTCAATTAAGTACTTTTTCTAACACTAAGAATCACTTTAAAAACTTCCTGCCCATATGTTTCCCCTTCCTCATTTACATTTTCATTATGTTTAGCTACTTTACACAGTTTTTATGGTAATTCTTCTTTTCTTGTATCCAGTTGAACACTTCTGAGTCTGATGCTTCCCAAGTTTACTTTCAACAAGTGCTTGGGCCTGCTTTCACCATTTCAGTATCTAAATTTCACTTATGAATCGGTTAAAATCTGTTTGCATGTTGCTCTACAGATCTATTCCACCATTTTTATGACTCCCAACTTAGATCTTGAGCTCAACACAACAGTACACCCATGATTACCCAGTATAATGCTGGGAACTATGCCACAGTAATCCACAATCTCAACAGCAATTAGAAAGGGGGGAATAACACATAATTAACAAAGAAATACTACTAACAATTTACTTGCATTTTTACACAGTTTTAATGAAGAAGTTCATTTACTTAAGTAAATTAAATTTACTTAAGTAATTTAAATTTGATTTACTTAAATAAATCAAAACAGGAGAAATAACCTTCAAGACAAAACAACAACAGAAAAAATTTTTTTTTGTTTATGTTACTCTTAAATTTTGATAACAGACAATGGGAAACAGAAAATTAACAGCTATACATATAATTTATTTTTAATGGATGATTTAATAATGTTTACATACTTAACATTACATGCAGTTAAATTACATACTGTTGAGAATAAAAATAATTCTTTAGTATTGTGGTATAATTTTCTATCACTGCTGTCACACTATGCATCCCCCTCTCCTTTTTGTACTTCATGTGGAAATTCTGTTTTCTTCCAATGGTTTGTGATGGCAATTTTTTCTTTGTCCTGCAATATGCCAACTTAATTTTTAAACAAGACCCATACTATCATTAACAAAGAAATGCTACTAACCCATATTAAGGGAGTCGACCGTATTTCAAAAATTTGACCTTCCCTAGTACATGGAACTCATTTTCTTATCCCTCTTCCCCTGAAAAACTGAAAATGGCAATGAATACTTAAAAAGAACAAACTGTGCAGTGGTTTGCAGAATTAGGGTCCATGCAGTTCAATGACGTTTCCCTACAAAGAACATACCACAGAAACTCTCCCAATGCCAACAGAATCAAGGCATGGAAAGCAGTATTCCCAGGGACAGGATTTGCTGCTGAGAGACATGGCAGTAGACTTTCAAGAGCACCAGAGCAGATTGTTAACTATATTTGAGAGCACTTGCAAGAAGACATAAGAAATCTATTTGTATAGCATCACATCAGCTTGGTCTTCCAAAATCAGCTACTGGCAATGTGCTATACAAGGACTTCATTCATACAAAGTGCAACTATTACATAAGGTGAAACCCAACGATACAAGCAACACTTAAAAGACATTCTCCAGCCCATCAACACAGACCACAATTTTCTGGCCAAGATTAGGTTTTCCGATGAAGCAACATGTCTCCTCAGTGAAAAGGTCAAAAGACACATGTACATTTGGAGTAGTGAACATCCTCCAAAGCCCAAAGAGTATCAGCAAGAGAGTCCAAAGCATTTGGTGTGACTTGAGGCAGAATGAAATTATTAAATGCTTTATTTCTGCAGAGACAACTATCATTGATCACACATATCTTGATATGCTAGTTAATTTTGTGTTCCCTCAGATAAGACACCGATACCCACATCTGCTCTTACAATAAGATGGTGCACTTCCTCAATGGTGTGAACATATAGAATGATGAATTCTCAGAAAGAGGAGAGGTCACCAATGGCCACCTTGGTCACCTGGCATAGCTTCTCTGGATTTCTTCTTGCGGAGGTATTTAAGGACAGCAAATCCTCTACCAAAGTCAGAAAGTGCTCCACTAAAGTTATGACTTTGGAACAGCTCTGTGAGCAGATTAGAGAGTTGCAATGTTATGCCACAGATGCTAAAAGATACCAGAAGAGAAATCAAATATTGATTACACATCCTATCTTCTGTGCAACTTGTGTAGAAACAGTGTGATTGAATAAACAAAACTTTGTTTTACCATTGATGCATCAACCTTCTTTATGTATTGAATATCTGTTGTACTACAGACATTTCAGATTAGAGCATTTCATCTTGGAGACTCAGCATTCCTTTTAGTTTGGGTTCACAGGAAAAAAGGCAGGAATATGGTAATATGGAATTTTTATGAATAATGAAATTTAGTAATGTGAAAATTTCTTCTGACCAATGCATACTCATAGGGAACTAATATTTTATGTTTAATTACAATGATAATGTAACATATATGACATAACTATGAGTATTTAACACTGCTTCCTATTCTATAGATAATAAATACATCATGGTGTTGCTGCTAAGTTTATGCTGAGTTTTAGCATTTCAACTTATATCTTTCAGCTTCTTTTCAGCATAAAGTCAAGATTAATTAAACTTAATTCCATTACAGTTAAACTGCTATGAATACAAAAGCTATTAAATTCATGTCAACATCTGCAATATTTCCAACCAGCTATTTCTTAAGTTGGAACATTTCCTTATTATTCATCATAAGATATCATTGATTTGTATAATAATTGACAAATTATGTTTATAGTGTTAAAAAATGAACCGTTAAATCCTTTAAAAAAATTCTTTGCAAGGTTGTCACTTACTAAATTACAATACATATTTCCATTACAAATGGTTAATTTAAGATATAACAAAAGCACTCTATTAATGTACACTGCTCAAAAAAAAAAAAAATGGGACAGTCCTATATCTCCCGATCTACTCGGCCGATTGACAAAATTCAAATTGCGTTCTTCATGTCTCGAAAGCGCGACTTAGGATATATATTAGATTTATATATAGCACTATTCTAACATAGGTATTTTGACACAAAATCGGACTTTTTCTGAAATAACATACCAATTTTTTTACATATTTCGATTCTACGATTCAAATTACGCCTAAATATGAAATTTTGTAAAATTTGGAGCGAAATTTACGGAGAAATTCACAAATTTATGTTGGCACTTTTTTGTCAGTTTGCGCCAAGAATACTTCACTTGGCGAACTTCTTAATATATGGCAACCTAGTTTCCTTTCCCGTGAGAGGAAAAAAAGTCACCATCGTTCCTTTTTTCCAAATAATATTCTTTATATTATATTTTTAATTATAACTTAGTATTTTAAGTAATTTTTTCTTTTC